AGTTCGAAGCAACAGATTCAGAGTTCAAGGAGTCATCGGTTTGTTCAATATTGTTCTCCTTGTTCTCATCCTCTGCTACTTTACCTGCACATGTAACAGAAGCATCAGTATTTTCAACATTAATAACCCCTCCTGACACAAATCCAACTGGTTTTCCGTATTGAAGATGTGCCTCCTTGTCAATTTCGTTCTTTGTCATAAGGATGGATGTGTAGTTATGATTGAAAGGAGGAGGTACACTATCATACCCTAGACCCTTGTTTTGATTCCTTTTAAACTGCATGCTTTGGTCTATCATATTTGCAACCACCTCACTTAAGAAATCATATTTTCTAACATCAAGTTTAGCAGTTTCAAACTTTCCTTTCAAAGATTCAACTTCAGCCACTAGCTCAGCATTTTGTTTGACTACATAATCATAGTTTTCACATTTGTTACTGTAGTCTTCCTAAAGTTTCCTAAAGTCCTTGGTTTTTGCTTCCAACTCAGCCTTCAGGGGTTTCTGTCCTTTCCTGAGTTGATATCCTTCATATCTTAGGTCCTCAACTTCTCTTTTTAATAAATCAGTTTGTTCCCGAAGATATTTAATCATATCTTCACATGATTGAGAACATGAAACTTCACATGAATGAGAACATGACACTTCATTGACCGGAAGGTTTACAGAACTCTTTAAAGCGTCAAGCTCTTCAATTACTTCAGCAATACTAAGACGATTGAGATCTTTTGTCTTCTTGATGACAGCTACATTCATATCCCACGATTTTGGAAGAGAATTCAATAGCTTTTTGTTTATCTCAGACTTAGTCAAGAAGATCCCGGCTATATTCATCTCAGTAGTGAGTGTAGTAAACTGCTGCAACTGAGTTTCAAGCGTTTCTCCAAGGACATAATCGAAAAAGTTGAAATTTTGTCTTAACATATCCTGACGACTTTCTCTCATGTTTTCAACTCCCTCGTAGACCTTAAAATCAATAATAAAAAACTAGAAGCTAAAATAAAAATTAAACGTCAAATTTAAAATGCCTCGTTTTTTTTTAAGTCAACCTTAAAAGTCAAATTTAAAAAAAACAAACGTAAAAGTCAAACTCGAAAAGTCAAACTTAAAAGACAAACCGAAAGGCTAAATTTGAAGTTTTAAAAGTTAAACGAAAAAAATCAAAGTTTAAAGTCAAAGGTCAAACTTGGAAATCAAAATCGAAACTTGAAATAAAAAGTCAAAAATAAAATTCAAAAATTAAAATTACTATTAGAGTAAATTGCAAAAATGGTCCCTGTGGTATGCAAAATTTTGGGGTTTTAGTCCAAACCTCGAGTTTTTCGGAACCATAGTCCTTTTGGAGTGGTTTCTATGTGGTTTTGGTCCCTGGACTTAACTCCCGTTAAGTTGGAACTGTTAAGCCCCCCTCACGTGCCTCACACGTGAGGGTAATTTCGTCATTTCATATGTCAGGGACCATTTTTGCATAAACGTTTTTTGGATTAATTCCTTTTAAATACCCCCATTTCCTGCGATCTTCTTCCCCCAACGTCTCTTTTCTTCTACCCTTCTTCTTCTTGAGCTCTGCTACAACAAAAATGGTGCTATGTTTTTGTGGAAAAGTTGCTGTGGTGAAAACGTCTTGGACCCCTTTGAATCCAGGAAGGAGATTTTTTGCATGCCCTATGAATGATTCCGTTTGTGGGTTTATTGGGTGGCTTGATCCCCCAATGTGTGCTAGGTCTAAAGCCATCATACCTGGTCTGCTAAGAAATTTGAATTCAGTGCAGGAACGGTGCAATGAGTTGGTTAGAGGTATGAACATGCTACAGGATCAATGCAATGGACTGATATGCAAGAACAACATTTTGGTGGCAAATGTCAGAGCATTGAAGGATGATAATTTGAAGCTGAAAATGTACATGTTTGGAAGTTGGTTTTTCTTTGTGATTGTATTCTTTTATATTTGGTTTGTGTAGGGGTATACTCTGAAGGGTGTTTTGGTCATTTTGTTGTAATTTTATGTGATCAAGTTTGTAGTGACTTATGATGATAATGATATATGTACAATTTTATGATGCAAGTGTAATGAATGTTTTACCAAAATGGTATGAATGTATAAGAATTAACATATGAATAGAAATGGTATGAATGTGTTACAAAAATATATATATTAGAACCAATTGTACATAACCAAAATGCACATTTCATTAAGATTTGTAATATAACAACCAAAGTTTCTAAACATAACAACCAAAGATTCTAAACATTACCAAAAGGGACACATTACCATACCTAAGATAACAACCAAGTTTTCATAACAACCAACCAAAAATTTTCAACAAAATATTGTAAACATAACAACCAAGTTTTCATAACCAACCAAAATCACAGAAAACTCCATGCATGCATGACACATTACTTCTTGGATTGATTCCCACCTTGCCCTTTACAGGTCCTAGAGTTGTGTCCCTTGTTCTTGCATTTGCTACAAGTAACACTGATATGCTTCCTTGATAGCTTCTGCACTCCATCATTTGTTGGTTTTTGGGAACCTCCTTCTTGTGCAGCATTCACTCCATCACCTTGACTTGCCTTCTGCTTTTTGCTTAACCTTTCACCCTCACTTTGTCTTCTCTTTTTCTTAGGCCTTCCCACCTGAGTGCGATGTGGAGGAGGGATTAGCTTTGTGGGACATTCACTTTTGGGCCACATGGATCTACCCTTAATTGGCTCCACCTTAAAAGAATAAGCCTTTTTCCATGTCTCTAGAAAATACACCTTGTGAACCCATTTGTAAATGTCAAGATCAGCCTCTGGGTCTTTACTCATCTCATTCAGAGTTGCAATTGCATGTCTGCATGGAATTCCAATTAATTCCCATTTTCTGCAAGTGCATGTTTTGTTCCTAACATCAACCACATGTTGATCCTGCAAAGCTCCTGTGACTTGATACTTGTCTCCCCCATTCCACCTAGCAATGTATTGTGAAGCAACTGTTTTTCTTGCAGCTAGGATGTCTGTTGCTGTGGGTGTTAGTGGACCTTTAGCCTTTTTCATTTCCTTCATGACATTGCATATCCTCTTCATTAGATACTCCCTTATGAATTCTAAACATCCAATGACAGGTTTATCCCTTCCTTTCTCTATCTTCCCATTAAACACTTCACACATGTTTGATATCAACACATCAGAAACTGCTCTTCCTGTGTGTAAATTACAATTAAAAAACATTTAATACAAGTCACATACAAGTAAAACAGTTCACTAAGTGAAAGACATAAGGACCAAATTGGAATATATAGATTTACCTGAAAAATGACTCCTTGCCCAATGTTTAGGAGGAATTTGCTTCAACCATTCACATGCCTCCTTATCATACTGACTAAACTCCTTCATCAAATGTTCAAACTCAGGAATGGTGGTAGCTGATGCACACCTCCATAAGTGGTCCCTGTACTCTGTTTGCCTCCATCTTTTCCTCATATTGTCATGAATATGTCTGATACAATATCTATGCTCAGCATTGGGAAAAATTTGCTCAACTGCAGTATGTAAACCCTGCAAAAATTAATTTTCAATCATTAGAATTAACTTACAACCACACTTTAAATGACCAAATGTATAAAAACTACTTCCAACTTTACCTTTTGCCTGTCACTTATGAAAGTAAAATTTGAGTTTCTTCCAAGGTCCAAGTCATCCCCAAGGTTATCTAAAAACCATTTCCAGCTTTCTGTGTTTTCAGACTCAACAATCCCATATGCTAATGGGTAAATTCCATTATTGGAATCAAGACCAACTGCTGAAAGGACTTGCCCAGGGAATGGTCCTTTCATGAAGGCACCATCAAAACCTAATAAGTCCCTAAGGCATGCCTTGAACCCTTTTTTCAGTGGACCCAAGCACACATAAATTCTTCTAAACTGCCTAGTTGGGGAATCAGGGTTAGGCTCAGAACATACATCTATTTTCACTGTGGTGTCTGGGTTGGTGGCTTGAAGTTCGAGAACATAGTCCCTCAACAGTTCATACTGCTTTGTGTAGTCACCAGTTACATGCTTTCTTGCCTTATCCTTTGCCCTGAACACCTTGTCCATACTAACACCCACTTGGTAGGTCTTTTGAAAGTGATCTTGTATAGCTCTCAAAGGTATATCTGGATTCGCCTCAACTTGATCAAAGATTTTCTTGCTGATTAAAGAAGCAGTACAAGCCCTGAGTTTCCTTGTTTGCAAACATGTGTGAGTTTGGTTTAAGGTCCTTATAAACCAGTCGGATTCAGGATTTGACCTAGATGCATGAATGTACCAACCACATGTTACTTTTTGTGTCTTTAATTCTTTACCCTTTCTTTTTGAAGTGGTAGCTTGACTACCCACTTGGCCTTTATTGGTGACAGGTACAACACCTCTACACTGTGCCCTAAGCCTTACATTGTCATTTTTTTTAAAGAAAAGATTCCTTCTTGATTCTAGTGCATGCAGATCAATTGCCTCCTTTAATTCTTTTTTACTATTAAATTTATCTCCAACTGAAAAAGATTGTTTATGTACTACCCCAAGACTGCACCTTTTTTCTTTTCTCAAATTCTTGATAAGAGCTCTTCTCTCTCTGTCTTGGTCGGATCCTTCATCCAAAGATTCAAATTCCTCATTGTTAATCACTTCCATATCTTCAGGTTCATGCCCATGAACAACATTTATACAAGAACCTTCCACATCACTTTCAACATTGAGAGTGAAGTCTCCCATGTCCACATCCACATCCTGTATATTGTTGTCAACATCCATTATGTCATCCATATGATCTTCATCTTCTATTTGTCTCTCATCTTCTTCATACTCTGGATCACTATTTTCAGATTCATCATACTCTTCAAAATTTGGATCACTTTCTTGAGATTCATCATCCTCTTCATACTCTTGATTACCCTCTTCAGATTCTCCATCCCCTTCATACTCTGCATTATCATCATCACTCCCAATCAAATTTTCCATAAGGTTATCAAATAACTCATTCAATTGTTCATCAGCATTATTAACAGGGGGGTGTTGTAGCCTTCTTCATCAAAAGTTGATGCCTCTTGAACAACATTTGCAGCCTCCCTAACACCATCCATCTCATCAATATGAACACAAGTTGCTGCCTCCTGAACATTAGTTGAACCATCCAGATCATCATTCTTTTCCTTTGAAATGTGAACAACCTCATCAATATAATCTAAATTAAGCCTTTTGCTACAAGAACTTTCACCTATTTTGGAATTCCCAACCCTACCCCTTCTATACTCTGGTGAGAAACTATCATTCTTACTCCCAAAAAGAATCAGAGACATGAACTCACCAATAGGCTCACCATTACCATGGTTCACATTTTTCATTGGAGAATCTGCATGAACTTGACCCTCAACTTCAGCCCCTTGATCATCATTTTCTGGTAATTCCTCAATGACAACTTTACCCTTTGCATTTGGTGACATGAAGTAAGTCAATAAATTTGTCTTTCCATGCTCTGTGTACACCTCAATCAGCTTGTTATGTGCAATGTATTTAGAAAGGTTGATCACATCCTGATCATTCCCTAAAGCTCTAAGACCAAATTGAAAGTCACCATTGGGTATCCTAAAATGGTAGTATATAACTGGGGATTCATCAGCGAATTCAGAATTTCGTGGGTCTGGGTAACCTAGGTCAAGCATTATGGCATCAAGTTCATGCACAGAAAACTCATCAATGTCCAGATAATCAACATAACGCACTTCACCTCCAATGTACTTTATATCAGGTAATTTAGTAAATTTCCCACCGTGATGAAGCTTAATACTAAACCATGTGGGTGCACCAGCTAAAAATCAAAATTATACATATTAACAAAGTTAAAATTTTGCATTTTTTTGTTCTAAATCAATAAGAAAATGCAAAGTATAAAAGTTAAAGAAAACAGAGCAGCTTACCATATACAGTTGATACATCAACAACTTCGCGTTTTGGTCTGATATGCCACATTACGAACACCATTTCGTATTAAACGTATGCCCTTATATGTGTAGTGTCGATTATCTTGTTTGGATAAGCAACGAGGGTTTTTTGCAGGTTCAATGGAGCAGAAGCAAGAAGGAGGGAGTTGGGGAGTTGACGAGTGTTGGGGAAAGTAAATGAGGGGTAAATGTCAATCAATCCAAAAAAAACGTTTATGCAAAAATGGTCCCTGACATATGAAATGACGAAATTACCCTCATGTGTGAGGCACGTGAGGGGGGCTTAACAGTTCCAACTTAACAGGAGTTAAGTCAGGGACCAAAACCACATAGAAACCACTCCAAAAGGACTATGGTTCCAAAAAACTCGAGGTTTGGACTAAAACCCCAAAATTTTGCATACCACAGGGACCATTTTTGCAATTTACTCTTACTATTATTATTATTATTATTTTATTTTTTTTATTTTGGATGAAAAAGAAATTTAAAATTAAAAGAAATTGAGTTTTTGGGTTAAAAGTGTCAAATTTTTGAAATTAGGTGCAAAAAAGACGGGTTATATTCTAACTTTCGAAGGAACTGAACAAGGAATCAACTAGAGGAGTTGGCTAAGGCGCTGGTTGTTGAACTTGAGATCGTGGGTTCGATTCCAGGCGTCGACAGTTATCCTCCTACGTTTCTTTTATTTTAATGAAGCGCCTGCAGCTAGCTGCTTCTGAGCCGAGCCGCCAAGCCGTAATCCGAGCCGAGAACTTCCAACTGAGTCGCAAAGCCGCCAAACCGTAATCGAGCCGAGAACTTCCAACTGAGTCGCAAAGCCGCCAAACCGTAATCTCGGAAACCCTAGCCGCAAACACTAACTCCGCCGCCGGCCGTGAACAGTTTCCGACCGTGAACTGTTTCTGGCCGTAAGCTCCGGCCGAAAACCTTTCAAGATGACGTGAAAAACAGTGATTTTTCAACTTCTAACCTTCAAAAGTCGATCAAAAACCCCTTTTTATGAAAAACACAAAGAACAAACCCTCCTTATTTTTGCGAGATCTATCAAAAAACGAAAAAATATTTCAAAAATAAGATCAAATAATGCTCCAAATAGAGTTTACGGCCCAAGAACTCAGAGTTTACGGCCGTAAGCTTGGACCGTAAACACCAATTATTCAGATTCCAGATGAAAGAATAATCCTTTTGATTGATACAACTTGGCTCTGATACCAATTGTAAAGCCTGAAATCTGCCATTGTATCAATCAAATCCATTTGATGGTGCGGAATCCCAATCAAACGGATGATGTCAGATCAAATAGAAGAGAATGAGAAGAAGAATAATATGAATCTTCGTATCAATTGATATGAATTAAAGTTCCAGATACAAAAGATTCACACACACATACGCTCCTTATTCTCTCTGGCTGTAAACTCCTTCTAGTTCATCAATCTGTACTCCTCACCCTAACACCTATATTTATACTTGGAGAATATGGGCTTGGTGGACATGGGCCGTAAATGGGTTTACGGCCGTAAGGTGTTTACGACCGTAAACTCAACCGTAAACATGACCGTAAACTCCATAAATATTACAGAAAAATATAATTGCCCAGAAAAGTAAAGTATAAACCATAATTTGACCCAACAAAAACATGCAAAAGAAACACAGTGATAAACAATTGAGAAAAGATAGTAAACAATACTCATAAATAAATCTCTATTATTTAATTATCAAATGTTAATTACATTTATTTGCTACAAGTTTCTGAATATCTATCTAATCACTAAAATTAATATCATCCTTCAAACCAATGCTCCTCACGTGTTGAATGTTCTTGACCCTACTAAGACCCTTTGTGAGGGGACCGGTGGGATTCTCTTCTGATGATACCCTCTTTATGATGAGGCTTCATTCTTCTACACAATGTCTGATAAAATGATATTTTCTGTCGATATGTCTTGATCTACCATGGTCTCTTGGTTCCTTTGTCAAGGCAACCGTTCCTTCATTATCACAGAAAATCTCCATTGGATCCTTAATGGCTGGTACTACTCCAAGATCTCCAATGAATTTCTTCAACCATATAGTGTCTTTTGACGCTTCTCTCGCTGCGATATACTTTGATTCACAAGTAGAATCAACCACCATCTCTTGCTTGGAACTTTTTCAAATCACTGCTCCTCTATTAAGGGTAAACACCCAGCCTGAATGAGAACGGAAGTTGTCTCTGTATGTCTGAAAGTTGGTGTTACTATACCTAGTAACTCTTAAGTCATCACTGACACCAAGAACAAGGACTCAGTCCTTAGTCCTTCGTAGATACTTGAGTATGTTCTTAATCAGTATCCAATGAGCTTTACTTGGATTTTTCTGATATCAACTAACCATGCTCAAAGCAAAATCCACATCAGGGCGAGTACATGTCATAGCATACCTAATCAATCCAATGGCGGTAACATACAAAACTCGACTCATTAATGATATCTCTCCATCGGTACTCGGGCTCTAAGTCTTACTCAGGTTAGTATTACTTTGGATAGGTAACTCCATTTTCTTTGAATTTACCAGGCTAAAACGCTTTAGCACCTTATTCAAATATGTACTTTGACTAAGTCCAATTAGTCTTCTACTCTTATTTCTCAAAATTCATATTCCTAGAATATAAGCAGCCTCTCCCAGATCCTTCATAGCGAAGCACTTTCCAAGCCAAGACTTAACTCCCTGCAAGGTTGGAACGTCGTTTCCTATAAGAATTATGCCATCGAAATACAATACCAGGAAGATGACTATACTCCCACTAGCTTTGACATATACACAAGATTCATCCTCGCTTCTAGAGAAACCAAACTCTTTGACTTTCTCATCAAAGTAAAGACTCCATCTGCAAGAAGCTTATTTCAATCCCTAGATTGATTTCTCAAGCTTACACATAATATTGGGGTATTTAGCATCCACAAAAATCCTCTGGCTGATTCATATAAAGATCCTCGACCAACTTTCCATTTAGGAAAGCAGTTTTGACATCCATCTGCCAAATTTCATACTCATGAAATGCAGCTATAGATAACATAACCCTAATAGATTTAATCTTGGCCACTGATGAGAATGTCTCATCATAGTCAACCCCGATGTTTTGAGTACCCTTCACAACCAGTCGATCCTTGAAAGTGTGTACCTTTCCATCCATGTTGGTCTTCTTCTTGAAGATCCATTTGCACCCAACTATCTTTCGACTTGGTACATTGTCAACCAAGTTCCAAACTTGATTGTCATACATGGAATGGATCTCGATGTCCATTGCCTCTTTCCATTTAGTAGACTCAGGGCCCACCATGGCTTCATTGTTGTTAGAAGGCTCGTCCAAATTTACGATTGTATTATCACTGATATACATATCACCACCCGTAGTTATATGAAAACCATAAAACTCTGGTGTCATTCTAGCTTGAGTGGAACGTCTAAGCGGTAATGACTCGTCAACAGTTTCAACAAGAATTTATTCCTCGGTTTGAGTGCTAGTGTCATAGTTTCCTTCATCGCTTGATTCTTGAATTTCTTCAAGATCAATTTCACTCCCACTGTCCTCTTTGCATATGAGCTCTCTCTCGTGAAAGACTCCTCTTTGTGATACAAAGACCACGTTCTCACTGGGTCTGTAGAACAAGTATCCAAAGGACTTATGTGGATATCCGATGAAAATACATTGCTCACTTCAAGGTTCTAGGTTTTTGTGAGTCTCTCGTCTAACAAAATCTTCACAACCCTAAACCTTGATATGTGCCAACGAGGGAACCTTCCCTGTCCACATCTCATGAGGTTTTTTTGGCAACCTTCATTATGGGAACAAGATTAAGAATGTGGGCGGAAGTCTCTAAGGCATACCCCTAGAATGAGATTGGTAGCGAAGCTCGACTCATCATGGAACGAACCATGTCCAACAAAGTTCGATTATGCCTCTCAGCCATACCATTAAGTTGTGGTGTCCTAGGAGGTGTCAATTGTGAAACAATTCTACATGCCTTGATGTAGTCATGGAACTCGATACTAACATACTCACCACCTCTATAAGATTTGAGCATCTTGATCTTCCTGCCCAATTGATTCTCGACTTCATGTTTGAGTTCTTTGAACTTTTCAAAGGTTTATGACTTATGCTTGATTAAGTAGATATATCCATATCTACTATAATAATCAGTAAAAGTCACATAAAATCGATTTGCATCCCTTGCAGTGGATCTAAAGGGCCCACATACATCCGTGTATATAAGATCCAACAATCCCTCACCTCTTTCACACGAGCCCATGAAAGGTGATTTAGTCATCTTTCCAAGCAAACAAGACTTGCATGTATCATCCGACCTTAATTCAAATGATTTCAACACTCCATTGTTTTGGAATTAGGCAATGAGCTTCTTGTTGACATGTCCAAGACGACAATGCCACAAGAATGCCTTGTCTAAACCATTAGACGAATCAATTTGCAACACACTATTTCCTAGGTTGTCTACAACCATCACGATTTCCTACACGCCATCACAAGGTAATACTTCAAAACAAAATACACCATTATAATAAGCATGAATAGAACCATTCTTATTATCAAAAGAATATCTAAACCCCATCTGTATAAACCATGAAATGAAATAATATTTCTTGTCATTTCTGACGAGTAGTAACAACTACTTTAATCTAATCATAACCCATTACTAAGCACTAAATAATAAACACCAATCTTGGTAACATGCGACGATATCCTATTTCCTATAATTAGGTTCATCTTCCCATGCTCCACATCTTCACTTCTTTTTAGTCCACGCAAGTTAGATAAAATGTGAAAACCACACCATGTATCAAGATCCCAAGAATTCAAATGTGATGAGTTTTTAGATAGAAAAGTGTAAATACCTGCTGATGTTGGCTTAACCTTTTCATCCTTTATGTCTTGCAAGTACTTGGTGAAGCTTCTCTTCCAATGTCATGGCAAGAAAAGCAAGTAGCCTCCTTTAGATCAGAGACAGGGGGAGCTTCGGAACTAGATTTGCGTTTAAGGCCATTACTTGACGACCCAGCTTGAGATTTTCCCTTCTAGTTCTGTTTTGAGGGAGTTTTCCTCTACTTCCCCTTCCCTTGACCTATGGCCAAGACAGGAGCAACAATAGTAGGAGTGGAGGCAATACTTTTTCCCTTCATTCTACTCTCGGCGGTTCTCAGCAAGATTTGGAGTTGGCTCAATGTAGTTTCCTCCTTTTTCAGATGATAAGTCATAACAAACTTATCATAACAGCTAGTCAATGAGTGTAAGACT